TCTTCTGCTTCTCCTGCAGATGCAGCTGACTCCTGGTCTACTCCTTGGCTGGCACCATGTACCTCTTGTCTCGTCCCCTGAATGGGATCCTTCTTTTACTTGAGTTGTACCCAATGATTTCCGTCAATATGGCCCACAGGCTTACACCTGCAGCAGTGAGCTTCTCAAGTACAACACGTTGACTCCTTGCAGCCACTCTTACCACAGCGGTGGCGTTCTATGGTTGGTACTGCATTTTGCTGACCTTCCACCATTCTATGCATCCAGGCATTATCACTCAACAGTGTTGGTGGCCAATTCCATTGAGGTACTGATTTTGCAAGCTACCTTTAAATCCAGGTCTCTCCTTGTTAGTAGCTTCTGTTGGATGGCCACAATCGTGTTGGAAGTCACAAACCTCACGGTCCCACAGCTTTCTTGGAGGAACCCCACCGAATTCGCAATGTTTCGCTAATCTCTTTAAGGCGGTCACAAATTTATAAAAGCTGAAATGTTCCATAATTGTCGGTGGCTTTGGTGCAAAATAACTCCTCAACACTTTCACATAGATATTGATATGTCCTCTCTGTTGCTCGGGTCGTACCAGACACATTAAAATCATGAAGGTTTTGGTCCCAGTGGAACTCAAGAAAACCTGTACCATTATGTTTTCAGCCACTTTATTTGCCTTTAAGTACACATTAAAATATTCGGTGTATGGAATCCAACTGTCTGCCTCTTCCACAAACAGTACCATCACTCCAAGTTGGCCTGCCATTTTGTTTTCCCACTCGTGGAAATTTTTCTGCCGCTCGGGTCTAGTAGCCATTGCCACCTGAGTTCCCTCAGTGAATGTTCTCTGTGCTGGCCTCTCCCTCACCGGCTACATTAGTGTACTATTCTCCCTGGTGTCACCCACAGCCCGAGTCCTCTCACAACCACTTCCCTCAATGTTACCTCCGCAATCCCACATCTTTTTCAAAGGCTGGGCTTCATCCTTCCTCCCAACAAAAACAAAATGGCTTTTGCACACAGTTTGTGGACCAGATCTCACTCTCATCACCAGTTATTATGTTCGTGGTTCATTAGAACCTTAAATAGAACACAAGATAGACGGAGAGACAACTTGAATAGGGAATACGTTATTGTAGGTCTCTTGGCTCCACAGTTGGATTTAAGACTGCTCCTCTAGCTCCCACCTCCTGTTCACCTGACCCACTCTCGTAAAGGGGCAGCAGACACCCAACTACATACATAACGAGACACAAATATTGAAATTAAATATTAAGCTTTATTAGCTCAACCAGACAATGCAAAAGAAAAGTCCAAATACTGCGACTTCTGAAACACTTACAATAAAAGTTCAAAGGAGGAAATAAAACAAAACTGCAGAGCTTATAGAAAGCAAACACATACAGAGTTACATCCTTCAAACAAAAATTAGTTCTCCTTAGCCTACCTGAAGAGTAAAGATGATTTAACAATGCAATACTCAGCTTAATAAATTGTTATATAGTTGCATGAGTTGTAAACTGCTTTCTATTGCAGATTTATTTTTGATGATGGGTCAGGCTCCCACTATTCTTCTGATAATGTGCCAGACCTCCATAGATATTTTTGCAACAATGAGCTTGACTCCCTTAAACATTCACCAAACAAGGGGTTAGGCTTTCCTAAATATTCCGCTAAAGATGGGTTGTGTGCCCCTTAAGTGTCTAATCCTGAGCACAAAACTGACATTTGTTCTGCAGATGAGTCCGTTGCCCCTTTGACTGCTATTCTCCTTCTCTTGGCTGTAGCTCTCCTTCTGTGATTGATCAATGTGCCTGCAGCCACAAGGTTCTTTTACATTTAGTTCCTTTCAATGCTGAACATAATGTTACATCGTCAAGGCCTCAATGGCTGATTAATGACAGCCTTGGATCAAGATAATCAGTGATAGATCACATTTTGTTTCATTCTTAAAGTTAAAACCACATAACACTGTCCATCTTTAGACTTCCTTTCCGTAAATTCCATCTTGAAAACGACATTATTAGTTGAATGGCTGGATGGATGAAATCACACATGTCTAACTAAGATACTCCCTGTTGAGAGTTTATTTCACAGTGAATCGATGTGGAACATTATTTTGCACAGACCTTTTCTTGGGACTACACAATGTCTTTTTGTTTGGATGGCACTGTCTGGTTTTGATACTTTGCAGTAGCCTAGCAGGCTTTGATATGTTTTAGAAAAAAAAAGTTTTGTCCCATTAGCTGTTCCAGTTGAAGGTCTTTCTTTAAAATCTTATCAAAAAAGGTTTTCTTTTCCTGTGTTATTCATTTCACTGATTTGTACTGCAAAGTGATGAAAGAAGGATTACACTTTGATATAAACCAGTAAACTCTTGCAGATCCTTTTCCTGTTAGAAATATGAATTCTGAAGCATGATTGGTCCGTTAATTGAGCAGTTCATCATTATTGGCTCTGGTATTGCCAACAACACATTCACTGTACTTCAAAATAATTGCTGCTAAATGTTTTTTGAAACATTGTGATACATGCTACAGATATTGATAGCATAGAGGCCTGTCAATTCATCTTATATCACAACTCCCTCAGCCAACAATTAAAATAGAATCCATTTGCTATGTTCCCTTTGGCCATATTTTCTTCTTGTCGCTCTGTATTTTTCTTTGTTTCAAATACTTATTAATTTCTTTCTGGAAAGATTCAATCATTTTCTATCAAGAAAAGCCTATATTTGTATTGTGTTTTTAAGATAAGGAAATGTTCCAGGGCTTTTCCAGAAGCGTCACAAAGAAAATTAGACACCAAGCCACATAAGATGATATTAGGACAGATGGCCAAAAACTTTGTCAAAGAAGTAGGTTTTAAAAGAAGTATTTGAGAAAGAAAGAGAGGTACAGAGTCAGAGATGTCTAAAGAAGGATTTCCAGATATTAGGACCAGGCAATTGAAGGCATGGTCGCCAATGGTGGATTAAAACTCAAGGGTATGAGAGACTCTGGAATTGGACAAACATAGATATCCCTGAGAGATGTAGGGCTGGAGGTGGTACAGAAGCTTGAGGCTTGTAAGAATTTGAAAACGAGGACAGAATTTTAAACCAAGATGATGTTTGCCCAGTAACCATTGTAGCAAGCATAGGGGTAACAGATGAATATGATTTTGAAGCATGTTGGGACTGGGAAAGCAGAGTTTTTGGTACGCTCAAGTTTACAAAGGATATGATGTGGAAACCAGCCAGTGGTATACCAGCATAGATGAGTCTAAAGAGAAGAAAAGTATAGAAGAGTATTTCACTAATAGAATAGCTGAGCCAGGGTATGTCGAGAAATGATAGCAGTGTAGAAAGGCAATCTTATTGAATTTATTACTATGTAGCTAGAAGCTCATCTTGGAGTCAAATGTGACATATGGTTTAACAATCCTTTAAGAAGACAAATTTTTCCTAGGCTGCCTCCACAATCTCTTAGTCAAAAAAAACCTGAGGCTCACTTGCTGCTTCCTACAGATGCAAGTTAAATAATTCTTTGCAAAGTTCTCTGTCATTTAATAAAAGAATTCAATTCAACCTCCAGTTAACCTCATCTGCTCCAACAGAAATATTTCCAGTATCTCATATTTCTTCTCCTAATTACAGTTTCTCTCTCTGACAATGTCTGGGTCAATGTGTAGAGCACAGTAAATGTCCATAATGGCTTTTCTTTAATTGGGCATGCAAAACCACACAAGGTTCTTCAACAGTGACTTGCTCTTTTACACTTGTTTCAAAATGTTCCTCTGTGTAAAATTTAACATGCTATTGGTCTTCTTTTGGATTTATGGACCTGAATCTGTACTTTCAGGAGTTTACATCTTTGCACTTTTACATTCCTCTGTTTAGCCACACCTTTCATATCTTTCGAGTCAAGCGCAATCACAATCCTTTCTTCACCAAACATATTTCATTGGTCTGTTTTCTGTTTTTGTATTGTCAAGTCCAAATCTCTAAAAAAGAGAAGAACCAAAGTAGATATTACTCACATCACTTCCAACCTTCCTCCAATCTGAGCAATACCAGTTTCCCTTAAACTTTCACTCTATCGTTAACTAACTTTCTAAATAAATACCCAAAATAAATCAATTCTTTCCCATTTCCCCCACTCACTTCTCAATTAGTTACTTTCCAGTTCACAAGGGAGCTAGTTAAGTTTAAAACTTTTATAACATGCATAAACATTATCATCTATCTATTCATTAGTGTTTAATAGCTTTATCTGATTGCTAAAAATATAGGGAGAGAAATTGTTTTATGTAGCATCTCATTTCTACTGATGCTGTGCAGATGCACAGTGATTTCCCCAGGGCAGGTAGTGATGTCACTTATAGACACATGGCCCACACAATGTTCTTCTTTGATAGAAGCGACAGTACTAAGAGAATTATCAGTCTTGTAACCCAATGCATCGTTATTCTGCTGCCATCCAGAAACAATGACTTTGTGAAAACATGAGGCAGAATTAAAAAGTGTATAACAACTATGTAAAAGGTTCTCTCTGCATTCCCAGGACACATTGAAAGAATATCTGAGCAGTTGAAAAACCAGCTCAAATTCACAGAGAGCTATGATTTGTGATGGTATTTGAAAAGATTGAAGCAAAAACTATTGTAATGTGAAAAAAAGGGACTGAAAAAGTGTTTCAAGAATTAGCACTGTTTTTATGTTATGCAATTAATGATGTGCTGTAGTTAACTGTCATCACATCTTATAAACTAATCACTAACCTTTGTTTCTCCAGTTTAAAAGAAATGTTTGAACCAAAATGTTGACTTAATGTGACTATTGTAGCACTGATCTTGAGGCCAAATAAGTGTGAATGAATTTATATGCTACAATATATTTGGCCTATTTTGGTTTTAAGTGATAGAAAATGCATGACAATGACAAAATGGAATGAACAGAAATATGTAAACTGTAGAAATAGTGTAATAATGTAGGAGGGATTCACAATTCCTTTTTCTTTTATCCATAGCTCCCATGACAAATCCACATTTAGGTAAGTACACTATTTTTTTCTTCAATGTAGTCACCAATCTATTTGTAGTATTTGGTTTATTTTCTGGCTGGAGGATTGTGACCATAATTATGTCATTTGTTACAGTTTGAATTGGGGTTTGCTGCCATATATTTACCAAATACAATTTTTCATACAAAAATGTCTCACATTCATGTGTGCCAATCCCAGCATTCTGTTGAATATTCATATCTGGTGACACTAAAAAAAAAATTTAGCTTTTGAAGAAATATCTTGAAAATGTGCTCTTCCCTAACTATCATTTCTTCATTAGACTTTGGTTTCAAACTTTTTAAGCTCTCCAAGTTAAATATTCTGAAGCCATTGTCTTGTTTCTAGCTTGAAAATGATCATTATCAAGACTGAATGCCATAAATACCATGTTGATAATTTAGGACTGAAGAACAGACAACAAGTTACATAAAAAATTAGTAGCATCTTGGCAACCAGAAGATTGTCGTTAATGAAACTGGATAATGCAGAGTCCTGCAGGAATTATTGTGAGAACTATTGTTTGATAATGTCTGTCTTAATGATCTGAGTGAACTAACTGAGGGAACAGCCCACATGTTGTGAATTGTTTAAATGCTTGTGCTAGTGTATAGGGAAAACAAAAACGGAATTCGCTGGAGAAATTCAGCAAGTCTGGCAGCACCTGTGGAGAAAAAGCAGAGTTAATGTTTCGGGTTCAATGGCTTTTGTTCATAACTGACAGTAGCCAGGAAAGATTGGTACATATATTGAAGGTAAGCGTTGGGGGTGGGGGTGGGGGTCAAAGGAGTGAGCAGGTGGGCAAAGATGGAGCCCAGAGAGAGAGATAAAGAATGACAGGGAGACAAAAGGATGGATAATAGAAAGCCAGGGAAGAACAGCTAAAAATGGGGACCATAAGTAGGTGAAAATGTTGGCTGTACAGAAAGCAGCCCATATCATGATGGGGCCCAGGAAGTAAGGGTGGGTAGAGGACATGTTCAGACTCCTAAAATTATTGAACTCAATATTGAGTCCTGAAGGCTGCATTAAGCATAGTTGAACACTACAACAGGTCTGAGACAGAAATATTGGCTGGGGAGCATGGTGGTATGTTGAAGTGGTAGGCAGCTGGCAGCTTGGGATGATTTTGGTGGACATTGTTGTCCAGCAAAGTGGTTGCCCAGAGATAGCAGGAACTGCAGATGCTGGAGAATCCGAGACAACAAGGTGCAGAGCTGGATGAACACAGCAGGCCAAGCAGCATCATAGGAGCAGAAAGGCTGACGTTTCGGGCCTAGACCCTTCATCAGAAATGGGGGAGGGGAAGGGGGTTCTGAAATAAATAGGGAGAGAGGGGGAGGTGGATAGAAGATGGATAGAGGAGAAGATAGGTGGAGAGGAAACAGACAGGTCGAAGAGGCAGGGATGGAGCCAGTAAAGGTGAGTGTAGGTGGGGAGTTAGGGAGGGGATAGGTCAGTCCAGGGAGGACGGACAGGTCAAGGGGGCGGGATGAGGTTAGTAGGTAGGAGATGGGGGTGCGGCTTGAGGTGGGAGGAGGGGATAGGTGGGAGGAAGAACAGGTTAGGGAGGCGGGGACGAGCTGGGCTGGTTTTGGGATGCGGTAGGGGGAGGGGAGATTTTGAAGCTTGTGAAATCCACATTGATACCATTGGGCTGCAGGGTTCCCAAGCGGAATATGAGTTGCTGTTCCTGCAACCTTCGGGTGGCATCGTTGTGGCACTGCAGGAGGCCCAGGATGGACATGTCGTCTGAGGAATGGGAGGGGGAGTTGAAATGGTTCGCGACTGGGAGGTGCAGTTGTTTATTGCAAACCGAGCGTAGGTGTTCTGCAAAGCGGTCCCCGAGCCTCCGCTTGGTTTCCCCGATGTAGAGGAGGCCACAACGGGTACAGCGGATCCAGTATACCACATTGGCAGATGTGCAGGTGAACATCTGCTTGACATGGAAAGTCTTCTTGGGGCCTGGGATGGGGGTGAGGAAGGAGGTATGGGGGCAGGTGTAGCACTTCCTGCGGTTGCAGGGAAAAGTGCCGGGTGTGGTGGGGCTGGAGGGGAGTGTGGAGCGGACAAGGGAGTCACGGAGAGAGTGGTTCCTCCGGAAAGCAGATAAGGGTGGGGAGGGAAAGATTTCTTTGGTGGTGGGGTCAGATTGCAGATGGCGGAAGTGTCGGAGGATGATGCGTTGGATCCGGAGGTTGGTGGGGTGGTACGTGAGGACGAGGGGGATTCTTTTTTGGTTGTTATTGCAGGGACGGGGTGTGAGGGATGAGTTGCGGGAAATGTGGGAGACATGGTTGAGGGCGTTCTCGACCACTGAGGGGGGGAAGTTGCGGTTCTTG